CAAAAAATGTGTAGTATGCAGCAAAGGAATTCCTTTGTCACATATGCAAGTATTCAAGTTCCAAATGTGGGACATGTAAACTCATAAGAACTGGACGGTATATATGTATGCAAATGAGAACCTTGTGTTAAGCAAGTAAATGCATCAAAATCGGGTGGCATAAGAATTCTATTGTATGTAAGTTTGGCTATCTGAATGTCTAGGCATGTAAGCAAGTGAGAGTTCAATTGTAGGAAAGTTTAACTATCTAAACACATACGACTCCAATCTTATTTATGCAAATCTAAAAAACTTAGGCATGTAAAAAAAAAATCTGAGATATATGCATGTGAATACATAAGAATTCGTTTGTATAAAAGAAAATCTGAAAGCTTGGGCATGTAAACACCCAAAATCTGCAATTTAGGCATTTAAATACATAAGAATTCATCTACATGTAAATCCCCCTTCTCTTGCTCAAATAGAGAATTTTAAATCATTATACCGCTGTGAACTATGAGAAATCATACAGCAGTACTTAGCTGAGCCACAAGCCATAACCAAAAGTAAAAGTAGAAGATCCATTAAACATAGAAAAGTGCATTTCAGATAACATTCCCGTATTTTTCTCACATAAAACCGACAACATAACTCAACTTTAAAATATCAATAGCAGTATCAATGGATAAGGGAAGCTCATAAAACCAACCAAAGCAATTAGAACAAGGTTAATGGTGATGATGAGTTTAATTTGTATGAAGGAATATTTAAATAGCCAGCTAATTGTTAGATTCCAAATAGGGCTTATCAATAAGTGACACAAACTTACCTTAGGATTGCAGTAGAGGATGTCGGAGGAGCTTCGGCATCGAGTGGTTCGGTCGCGAGAGGATGGCGTAAGGTAAGTTAGGGCCAGGGTTGCTGTGAAGAGCGGCTAGGTATCGCAAGGGCCTTGGACGGGAAGAGGCGGTGAACTTTTAGCGAGGATGAATGGGATTCGAGCGAGAGATTCAGGAGAGAGGGAAAGGGAAGTATCGCGGGAAGAGAGAATCCGCCAAATGAGGATTTTGGCGTGAGAGAGTTTTGGTGTCGAGAGGGAAAGGTGAGAGAGCAAGTGCTTCGGTGCAGAGGAAAGAAGAGCCGAATGGGAGAGGCGAAGCAGGCGAGTGCTTCGATGTAGAGAAAGGAGAGCCGAATGGAAATCGACGAAGGATTTTGGGAGAGCGTGAGAGAAAGGCGGCGGCTTCGGTGCAGAGAGGCGAGGTGTGTGGGGGCTTCGATGTAGAGAGGCGAGGCGTCCGGGGGGTGTTTGCGCGAGAGAGGGAAGTGGCTCGGGTCGCGAGGAGGGAGGCAGGAACGAGAGGAGCAAGTAGAGGCGAGGATTTGGTCGCACGGGGCTCGTCGAGGTTGGCATTTCGAGCATGAGGAAGAGGTAGGCCGAATGTTTCGGTCCAGAGGGGAAGGAGAAGAATGAGGAGCCCAGAGCTTAAAAAGGGGGAGACGCGATTTTTGTATATCGGGAATTCCAAAGAGACGTTATGCGGCATTTGGCGGTGAAATATAAGGTTTCAATTTATGTAGGAGGTTTAATTGGAAGATCAAAGTACTTAATTATATTCAATCAAGAAGAGATTAAAAGATTTATCTGAGATTTAAAATTTCAAATTTGAAATCATGTGAGCTGAGGTGATTAGCCGTGTTCAGCCCGATTCAAACCCGGAACGAACCTAAACTCACATCCTTTAATTAATTAATTTTCTGCATCAATTTTGGAGTCATTTGCGCACGCCCGGAACCATAGCAATATGAGTGTCCTTTCTGACTAAAGTCGATGTCATGAACGCGCTCATGCGGTCTGTTTCATTATCCGACAGATTATTTTAAAAATTAATTTTGGTTTAAATGACGAAGCAATGTGTGTGTCAGTGACGTGAGTTGTTACGTTTATGCATGTTGAATGTGTGAATTGTAGTCTATGTGCGTGGTGGAAGTGGAGTAAATGTGTAAATGTATATGTGTGAAAGTCGAAAGAAGTATTTTTAATGCCTCCTGATCGTATAGGAACTCATTTTTGGTTCATAGCCCTTGCAACTATGAGTTTAATCTACACGTTAGTTCATAGCCCTTGCAACTAAGAGTTGAGTACTTGACACTACTCATGTGAGATTTTCACAAAAATAAGTCAAGAAGTGGTTTGAGGTTCTACATGGTGTGGGTCTCAGTACTAGTCCTCTAAGAGAGTCAAACAAGGAGAACATAAGGCTAGATCTAAGACCCTAGGAGAAAGAAACCCAAACCTCATTGAAAATGAGGTAAACAATATTCAATTATTCCTACTAAAATTGCTTATTTAGAATCTTCAAACTCTACCGTAAATCAATCAAATTACTCTAGCACTTATTCTTCATCTTCACTTGCTCACTACCTAACTCCCTCAACCTGTGAAAGCATGATTATGAGTACTATAGCTAGACTTCAATGCAACCAGCCCAACATACTATAGCATAATCCATTGCTCTTCTATAGCGTATGTCAGGTGTTAATTGTTCGCTACCCGGCCTCTTTGCCTTGGTTGTTGCTGCCTTTGCATGCAATCGGTGCCATTGCTGTTGTTTTGTTGCTACAAAGGCTTCAAATGTTGTTGCTGTGAGATATTGCCAATGGCTCTTCGATTTAGTCTAAGGTCCAATCTTCCAAGGTTAACGGATCCTATGGTGATCAAATTAATTATTTGTTTTAAAATTGGTCGTGATTGTTGATTTAATATCAAAGTTTTTCTTTTTTTTTTAAAATGCATTATGTTGATAGCAACTTACTATTGGACCACCCTGTAGTAAGTTTGCACTGGTTTGTTCCTTCCTTCGTCCGTATTTAAAAAGTTTTATTAGAAGCCTATTATCGCGTGTTGTCAAAGCACTTTTCATTAATATGTTATAAAAAGGATGCCCGTAAACAAAACCCCTTACCAAGCATTTGCTATATAAAAAAAAAATTCATGTTGGCCTAGGTCATGGAATTCTCTTGATGAGGTCACAAATTTGGCCTACTTGCCCAACTTGTTTAAAATTATTAATGTACGTTTACGATTGGGTCGATACAATGGCTAGGATGTCTATAATTGCACGTAAAGGTCACGGGATCAAAAGAAGGAATAATTCTCGTAGCAATGCAAAGAAAAGAACTTGATGTCAAACCGCACCCAAGAACCCACACTAGTGGAAAGGCTCATATATTCGGTGCCCCTATTTATGTACACTTTAAATCATATACCATTATTGTTTTTTTTTTTGTTATCAAATACAAATTAATTGGGAACTTTTCAAAACGGGATATGAACCTAAGATTTTAAAGCATAAGAAGCATGATAAAATGAAAAGGATGGCATGTAACTCCAACAACACCATTTAAAGGATGAGTTTGTTCTTGTTAAAAGGAGGTAGCTCACCTGATCCCCACTCTAGCCTCATGTTACCTCCTAACAGCATTCAGCTCACACCGAGCACGATTCGCCAGATATCCTCACACGAGCATTTCCCGCCATTAACATTGTAGCACAAGGCCGCTCCCTCCCGCGAGAACATCTCTATATAAAGCCATGTATGTCGCTAGGTTAGGGCAAGTAAGGAAGAGGGGATACAGTGGAGAAGGTCGCGAAGTTTAAAAGGAGAAATGTACTTATCTCAGAGGCACCAGTCTCAATTAAAGCTTTATTAAAGTCTTTTTCTACTCATGTAACCCTTTTTCCTCTTAAATTTGTGATACAATTGTAGACATGACTTTTCAAGCTAACAGTTAGATAAAAAAATAGTGAGTATAGATCCATCACAAAGCAAACTATAACTCTTGAATTGCATCACATAAAGAACTTAAATGAATATTTCTACAAAGAAACAGCTCTCAAGACGTTTTAAGTTGAACTTTCTACAATTTCATGCTCTCAGATGCTGCCAGAATTTGCTGTTCATTCACATGTTGTTTCTGTTTTAATCGTTATAGTGTGTTGTTAGAGTGTGCATATATAGAATGACTATGCCCCATCCAGGCAAATAGATGCATGCTTAACTTTTTACGTCCATGTAAAATGAATTGTTTCATTTGCACTAAAAGCAAGCATAGTAACTTCTTACTTCATTTTCTGTCATTATAATTAATCATGCTCTAGATACTCGTCTTTCACTTGGAGATAAAATGTGAAACAAATATATTCGTGAAAGGATTGGAGTAGCTCAAATGATAGATAAGATTGGAGAGAGCCGCCTTAGTTGGATTGTCACATTAAACGTCGACCATTGGATGCAAGTTAGGAGAGTAGATGTTTTAGATTTTACTTATGTTAAGAAAGGTAGAGGAAGACCTAAAAATACTTGGGTATGATGCATATATATGATCTTAATTTTATTAGAAATAAATAAAAATATGACAATAAAAAATAATAGAAAAAATGATTCATATAGTCAACCAAACAATGGGATAAAGGCTTATTGTTGTAGTCGTCGTTGTCGTAGATACTAGTCTTTCAATAAAAAAACCATTTCCATATCATGATAAAGAATATCTGACAGACAAGTTAATATGGCCCTGTTGTCAGAGAAGCCTTCAAGTAATTTTAGCATTCAACCATAGAAGAGTAAACAACACAAACAACAAATGCATGGAAAATTAAATAAGAAACGTCATGGACTGCGCTATGCCCTATGTGAGATTCAACTATAAGGACTGCTAAAGTATTGAGCAAAAGTACTTTTCAGTTTGTTGTTACTGCCCATATTGTTCGAGTTAGTGTCTCCTTGATAAAGAGATCTACCGTTCTCATATTTTTTCTTCAATTTCATAAATTTAAGACCTAAAAATCAGAAGAAAAAATGTCCCAATAAAATTTAATTTTCTTGATTCTTTTCCAAGCGTGACAATGAAAATGAATATTAATAATCATAATAATAGTTCATAGCTCACAGAATGCAAGAACCAATAATATAGCAAGTACAGGAGAGAGAGAGATAGCTAGAGAATACCAATCATACCAAGTTAAAGCATGTTATTTCTAAACCTTCAGTTGGCAAGCCATCAATCTCTTGACCATCATCTGCAAATTAAAAAATTACAAACTCATATGATTAGATATACTAGATATCCAAGTTAACCCCATATGATCACAACCAACCCTTTTCATACCTACTACATACAAGTTCGTATAATTTAAATTTATAATTAGATAAAAGGCATTTCAAGGTGGACAAAATACACACAAAAATGCACACCAACAGTTTGGCAACTACACAAAAAATCTATATAGGGCCTTGGCAAGTTTCAAATAATACTAAACAATTATGTTAACGTAGGGCTATCAAGAAGGCAGGGCAAGCCAAAAAAGTAAGCCAGCCCTTTAGAAGCCCCAATGCATTTTCCATAACACATATGGGCTTAAATAGGTTGTTCAACTATCATTTAAAAGCCGAGAATAGCAGTATTTGAACATTTTGTAAATTGAAATTAAAACAACTCTGAATTGAGGTTTGAGACCAGGATCAATTATTGACAAAATAAAACCCCTAATCAATAAAAAGAAAAATCAATCTTCCATATTTTAGTAGCTTCTTATGATCAGACACATCTCATAGTAGCTTCTTATTATAAAACACATCTCAGGCTAGTTCTCGAGTAGGATTCATTCATCAATAAAGGTCTTCTTTAGTAATAAAATTTTGGCACATGTAAAACATACCACAAATTTCGCATCTCTTGGAATTCGACTGAACTAATTTTATAAAATTCTACACTTCAAATCCATAATTTGATATTAGCACAATGCTTAAATGTATGGGGAGATAAAAATTGTTACAAGAAAAAGATTAATTAATCATGATTAATCCCTTAATTAAATTTTATAATCCCCATTAATGTTCATTACTGACTTCTCCACATTTTTCTTGGCATGCAGTGGCAGAAGTGATCGAATAGTTGGGGTTTATTGAAATCCAAGTTAAATGCCACAATCCCCACTTCCCCTCTCCTAATTTTTCCCTCATGCAAGAATTGCTGCTCGGTTCCTGTAACACATGCGACCTAAGCAATCGACAGAAGGCCACACATGGCATTTCAGAGCTCAAAGAGGTCAAAGAGAAATCTGTGAGTAGGAAACCTTGTTTTAAGATATTTGAGATATGTCTTTCGTTTCAAACATTTCTCATTTTCACATTTTCCACAAATTCAAGCATTCCACATGTTCCCTGTTGATTTAGTTCTACGGGAACAGCCACGGGACTGTCGAACTGAAAGCTACGCTCTACGGAAAGTCCATTTCATGATTTGGGGAAGGGGGGAAAGGAAGACGTGGGAACGAAATGGGAAGGTATTGGAGTGGTATATTTATGTTTAAAAACACTTTTAAGTCAACAACAACAACTACAACTACAAAAACAACAATAAAGCCTTAATCCCACGACATGGGGTCGGCTACATGAATCTTTTTTCTCCATTGCATTCTATTTAGTGTCATAATTTCACTTAGTTCTAGTAAATTAAGATCATTTTTTTATACAATAAGCCCAAGTCTTCCTAGGTCTACCTCTGCCTTTCTTAACACATGTCGAATCTAAAACATCTACTCTCCTAATCGGATCATCAGATGATCGACGCTTAATGTGTCCAAACCATCTGAGAGGACTTTCTCTAATTTTGTCCGTCACAGAAGCTACACCAGCCCTATCGTGGATATATTCATTTCGCATTTTGTCTCTAAATGTAAAGCCACTTATCCACCTAATCATTCTCG